TTGATGGGTTTTGTTTTCTTATCCAGTCTGCAACTCTTCATCTCATGAGTGGTGCATTTAATCCATTGACTTTCAGTGTAATTATTGACAAGCATGAATTGGTTGGTGTCATTTTGTTATGTGTTTTTTATGTGGTGTTCCTGGTTTTTTTATTCCATATAATTTTCTGTGCTAATGCTAAAAGGGCAGGGAGGCTGTATCTTCTGACCTCTTTTCATCTCACAAGAGGAAAACAAAATTACCATTAACAGCTCAAGACCTATTCCTGTGAGGCCAGACACGCTTCCTCCCTCCAGCCTTTTCAGTAACCCTGACACCAACCGTTCCTCCCACAACACCCACCACTTCTCTGCTAGGTTCGATAATTCGCTGCAGTGGCCACACAGAACTCACAGATTACAGGGTTTTTTAGGGAAGCACCAGGCTACAATTCAAATTCAGGAACAACGTTCAGTCTCTCTCAGCCTGCCGTCTCTCAGCCAGCAGTCTCTCTCAGTCTCTCTCCCAGCAGCGCGTATCTCTCAGTGTCTCTTTCTCAGCAGTGCGTGTCTCTTAGTATCTCTTTCTCAGCAACACTTCTTCCTTACCCAGCAGTCAGAGAGACTTCTTCTGCCTCTTGGGGGACTCCTTTTGAGCCTGGCAGAGTGGCCAAACTAACCAATCATAACATCAGAATTCTAAGCATCTGAGAGAGAACAAACTTCCCAGAACATTACTTTGTGTTGCTCCCAACAGAAATACCCCAAGTGGATGATTTTAACAATCAGAAGCTACTCAGTTTCTCATAGCAAATTCCATCATGGAGTTTATAAAGACTTATGGTTAGAAAGCCATACCAAGTAATTTACTACACAACAGCTGAGATCATTTTGTTTATGAATCGTGTTATCATTTCCTTTGTTGCTGTTGTTTTAGTATTCGCCAAATATTTGTGCTTGTCCTCTTTTTTATTGTGATGTGAACGTTTATCATTTTTCTTTGAGGTTACCCCGTGATTTATAGTTTTTCTCTGAGTTTAGAACAGTCTATTCTATCTTGTACTCTCTTTGACTTCCTCACCATTTAGAAGTTCTTTAACTACACTGTTTTTTCCCTTTTTTTGGTTTGTGGTTGTCCTCATTTGCCAGTTGATGTCTCTGGTTCCCTGTTTACAATCTTGTAAGCTTATTTTCCTTTGGATACTTCCATAGCTATGTTGGTTTCTGGGTTATATCATCTTGTATATTAGTGGTCAGTTGTTTGCTATTACTGGTTCTCTGTACAAAGGACGACTCCTTTTAGTATCTCTTGTAAGGTTGGTTTGGTTTTAACAAATTCCCTTAATTTCTGCTTATCTGGAAATGTCCTAAATTCACCATCATATTTGAGGGACAATTTTGATGGGGATGTAATTCTTGGTTGCAATTTTTCTCTTTCAGCGTTATATATATACCATCTTATTATTTCTCACCTGCATGGTTCCTGCTGAGAAATCAGATCTTAGTCTTATTGGTTGCCGTTTGTAGATAACTTTGTTTTTCTTGTGCTGCTTTCTGTGTTCTTTCTCTTTGATTTTGGTGAATTTGGTGATTATATATGTAAGTGGTTTTCTTTTGGGGTCTATCCTGTTTAGGGTTTGTTGGACTTCCTAAATAGATGTATTCTCATCTTTCAACATATCTGAGAAGTTCTCTTCCAACAAATTTTGGACAATTTTATCAGTGGATTTCTTTTTGTCTTAGTGTTCTGGAATTCCAATTACATATAGGTTATTCCTTTTGATGGTATCTCCTCTGAAATTTAGGCTTTCTTCATTTTGTTTTGATTGTTTTTCTGATTGATCTCTTTCCAATGAAGTATTCAGATATTTGTCTTCAGTCTCATTAATTCTCTCTTCTACTGATTTGATTCTGCTCCTTTGCCTTTTCCATGTGTTACCTATTCCTGAAAATTTAGTATTAATCTGGATTTCTATCTGTAGATTTTATATTGTTTCTGATTTTTCATTTATTTTGTCCTTTTGTTCTTGTATTTTCTTTCAAAATTGTTCCAGGGTTTTAGCTGTGTTTGCCTTAATTTTGTCAGTGTTTTCCTTGATCTATCTTCTCTCATTCTATTGAAGGTACCTAAGTATAATTCTTTTGAATTCCTTATCAGGGAGTTCCAATGCTGCTGCTTTCCTCAGGGATATGTTCTTGGTCTGTATCCTGCTCCCTTTTTTCTATCCCTTTATCTTGCTGCTTTGTGTGGACTCTGATGGTCTGTTGTCTCTGAGACATTCTGACTTTGTTGTAGTTCTGTTTAATTGATTATTGTATGTTGGAGTGACTCACCCAAGATACTCATTTTCTTTGATTTTTTTGGATCTGTCTGAATAGGCAGGGTACTGTGCTTTTCTATTCACTATTTGGCAGCATTTATGCACTCACCACATTTCTCTGGATGTGATAGAGAATGAGAGTGGCTGCACTCATCTCTTAACTGTTTGTGAAGAGCAGTTAAGGGTGAGTCAGGCTCTTCCTGTTGTTGTTGTTATGTGTCATCGAGTTGGACCTGACTCATAGCGACCCCTCCTTGGGTTTCCAAGGCAGTATCTCTATGGAAGTAGATTGCCCAACCTTCCTGGGGGTCATGTATTATTGGCCAGTTGGTAGAGAAGACATGACGACTCTCACTCAGTAAATGGAGCCTCAGGAGGCTTGGGTGTGGTTGCATTGTATGGGAATGGTGGCTGTCTCCCACTCAGACAAAAACAACCATCGGAAAACCATCAAAAAAGTAAAAGCAAAAGAGGGAAGGCAGTAAATGAAAGAAAATATTTAAAGAAATACTTTAAAAAGCCAAAAGAAATATACAAAGAAAAGGAAGGAGGGGGAGACCACAATATCTCAGGAGAAAAGAATAAGAGAATGTAAAGAAAAGACTGGGAAAAATATAAAAAGACAAGGAATGGGGAGAACTGCGTGAAAGAAAACAATGGGAACCAGGAACAGGGAAGAGAGAAAAAGCTGAAAAGTAGAACCTGGGAAGGGAAGGTGAAAGAATAATATTAAAAAGGATGGAAATAAAATAATAATTTCGAAACAGAGAAAAACAAGCAAACTAACAAAAAAAAGGAAAAAAAAAAATCTGGGCAGAGCAGGGCACCCAGGCTCTGTCAGAGCACTCAGACTTGGATGGAATTCCTGCCAGCCCAGAAGGTGGGTAGGAATGAGGGATGGCCACACCTCCATTCACCAAGTGGGTGTGCTGGAGTATAAGAGTAATAAGGACAATGTCCCACCTTTCCAGTGTTCGTGTCCGGACTGTCCTTGTGATCCCTGGCAGTGGAACCTATTATTAGGTCCCTGGAATCTGAGAGAATGCTGTTGGTTTAAATATCCAAAATGGTCGAACCACTTGTAAACATTCAAAATTGCTGAGCCCTCCAGATTGCCAAAAGTTCACAGCTAGGCTCGTCTCCCTCTTCCCTGTTTCCCCTTTACTCACCAGCTACCAGTGCAGTCCTCCGTGCAGCCCCTGGCTTGTAGGTCCAATTTTTAGGTTAATTCTTAGGTCCTAACACCGCTTGGCAATATTCCAGCTGTTCGTGCTGTCAGGATCGCTGACAGACTGCAGCTCCATATGTCTCCTTTTTCAGTGTTTTCATGCAGTTTCTTCTACTGATTGGAAGTTCAGTCCACTTCTATATCCTTCCTTTCAAAGCTCAGGGCTTCAGGATTACCTTCTAAATCTGTGTTGATTAGTTTCCCTTTTCTTTGTTGAAGAGAGTCTGTGTAGTTTGTCTGCCTATTCTGCCATCTTACCTGAACCTCGAAAGTGGAATTTTTTAAACTTAACTGCGATTTAGTTGGCTACTTATTACCACATTTTAGGTGGTTGCTCACTAAGTATTTCAGTTTAGGAAATTTAGAAATATTTCAGGAATGAAACTCCTTTTACCAATTAAAGTTAGTTTTATTTATTACATTGTGTGATAGTACACCTGCCTCTATTGAATAAGTGTAATTTTTCTAACCTTAGGAATTGAGAAAGGAACTGGATGTCCTTCTGCAAGAGAAGATCGAAAATCCTCATCCTGTAGACTGGAATGACACTAAATCCAGAGACTGTGCAGTGCTTTCCGCTATTATAGATTTGATCAAAACACAGGAAAAAGCAACTCCCAGGAACTTTCTGCCACGACTCCAGGATGGGTATCACAGCTGACAACTTTTCTGTGGTGATCTGAAAAGGCAACTGACAGCCATTTTCCATCATAGTTTAATTTTTGTCTGTCTAGATGCTGAACCCTGGGACATGACAAATTCTTATGTATAAGATAGAAACCTTCAGTAGGTACTAAAGACTTATTGTGCATGACTTAATGATGTTAACTGTAGGTAGTGGTTATAAATATCCCACGAAATACAATATAGTCTCTTATCATATACTTTGTTGTGATCATGTCCACATTTGAAGTTGTGGTCATGTCCACATTTGAGCTGTAACTATATATATTGATTGTTGTACAACTTGAGAAATTACTGTTATGTTATGAAAAATTAATCTTTCTGACCTTAATGACTGATTATAGAACCAGTAGGAATAGGATGGTTAGCCAAAAAACAGTGTCAAGATTTTTAATATCTTCAGGTTTTTTTTGTTTTTTTTTTTTTAAATAAAACTTGTGTCAGAAGTAAAGTAATTTGTTGTAATAAAGTCCAGTATTTAATAAAATGTATAGTGTGTAAATCGCAGCTAACTTCTTGGTTTAGTTTCTACATGTCCACCTATTCCTTGTTCATTGCATGTTTTTTTTGTTTTTAGAATATGAATATACCCTTTCACATCACGCTGTGCAGCATAATGTAGCAGATTCAGATCTCAGCCTTGTTGCTACTAGATGTCTTGGATAAATGTACTTAGCCTGTCTGTGCATCCTATTCCTTATCTGTAAAATAAGAGTAACAGTTGTGAAGACTAAATGTGTTAATTGATGTAAAGTGCATAGTATAATGCCTGACATGGATAATCTGCTTATTGAACCTTAGCTGTAACCTGTCTCTGAATTTTTTTTTTAATGTACAACTATCCATCATATTACACGTTTTATCTATGCTCTGCCTGCTGTTGTACTTCCTCAGCCAATGGAATCTAGTGTGACAACATGTACTGTATGTTTTCAGTGCTTGCTTATCACATTGCGGCAGATATTGTAGGTTGCTCTTCTGGCCCTCCTTTCTTCCTTAAGTTTTCACCCAGCTGTGCCCAGGTATGGTGGGCCCTTGTCCCTAAGGGTGAATCAGAATTGTTCTAAAGCCAATCATAGCTGGTCTTATTTCTCCTGGAATAATTGGTGAGCCGTAACTATGTGAACGTATCCTTAGTGGTGACACCTGAGAAGAAATCTGCAACGGGTTTCAGAGAAAGATGTTTCCTTACTAGTAGAGAGTAAATATTCTGCTCTCCTCTGGACATTGTCCAGAAGCTGACACCTGGAACTCCTGTCTGTGATCACAGGGGAGATAGAACCATATCCTGAGATTGGCTTAGTGGAAAGATGAAAATCACTAGAGTCCTTTATAATGCTGGTGAACTGCTGAATTAACCAACTCTATAACTGCCTTACACCCACACTTATCTTGATATAATAAACTGCTCCTTGTTCAAGCCACTTTTAATAGGTTATTTTTTATAACTTCTCAGAAAGTATTTTAACTGAAACATTATCCATCACTGAGTGCTGTTTACTCTGTTGTGATACTGTTTCTACTATTTTCTTTGTGGCCTAATAGTTTTGACTCATAATGTCTGATGAAAGTAGTATTGGACATGCCAGAAAAATTTTGAGACATAGAAAGAGCATCCTTTTACACCCAAAATATGTAAATTTTATTGTGCCTTCCAGTAAATGCAAGGAAATAAAAGGAAAAGAGTATCATACAGTGCCTGGGATATATTAATAATTCTGATGACCTGCTAATAGCCCTGGTTCAGTTACTGCTCCCATTTCTGGTAATGTATACTGCTCATCATTGCCCACCAGGGGTTTGTATGTTTTGTGTGTTCCAGATCCAAAGTCATATATCACTCAGTGAATTCTTATTATTGTGTCATATCACAGTATTGTAGTAACATACTAGTTTGTCTCTAAACTCAAGATGACTATCAGGTGCTATTTGCTCTGTGTTTATGTTTGTGCTTTTTTTTTCCTTGTGTTTACTGTACAGTTTAAATTCAGTCTGTTGGACAAAATGGTCTTGGTATAGTGATTCTTTTTTTTTTTTTTTTTTTAATTATTATACTTGGTTGGTTCCAGGCTTATAAACCAATATTTGTATCCTACTTCCATTTTCATATGAATGGGAAAGATGTTCCTGAAGAATTATTTCATACATGAAGTATTTGGAGAAATTAAAGCAGTTCCTATCACTCGTAATTTATATCTTTTCAGCAGCTGATCAGGATAGAAATTTTAATTGAAGATTCTATTTGTCTCTTTGTTTATAACATAGACATTGTGGAAAATGCATTTCAAACCTAAGAATGTTTGTTTTTCAGTAGTTTTAATGGATAAGACACTAAAGAAGAACACCTATTTGCTTCATCTTTCTGAGAGTCTGGAGGATAACTTTTGGAGAAAAAAAACCCTGAAAAATAAACTTCTGGGGGCAAAAAATTAAAAATGAAGAAACCACGGAATACTCTCTACCAAGCATCTTTGAATAATGACTCCACGTGAAATCTAATTTTTTACCTAACTCATCATTGTAAACTGTTGATATATTTATACAAGTAACTACCAGTTATTTTCTTGCTGCAATTTTAAAGCAAAATCCATCCTAAAAATTAGAACTTATAGAACAGCAGAGTAAATAGTGATAATTTGCTTTCTGTTCTTCTAGCTCTGAGTTTCTGTGTATTTATTTTGAAGTAATGGTGGTCATGTGGTATAATCATACATTTGTAATATTCTGTTGTTTTTTAAATGGTGTTTTCTGAATTTAAAACAATACATCCTTACTGTCGAATATTTGGAAATTTAACATATAAAGAAAATTATGTTCCCACTGTTATGTTTTAGTGTATTTCCTTAGTCCTTTTTTTCTTAGCTTTAAGATATTTTATCTATAATGAAATAACCAATGTAAGTATATAATTCAGTGCATTTTGTGAGATGTATAAAAAGCTATGTAATTACCATCATTGCAATCTTCATATAATACCTTCCCGTAACCCTAAAATTTGTCTTGTTCCCCTTTACAATGAATACTCTGCTTTCAGTTCTACCTTCTGGCCAGTCATTGACCTTCTTTTTCACTATAGCATTGCCTTTTCTACAATTTCAGATAAATGGAGTCATAAGTAATCTTTTGTGTTTTTCACATAACAGTGCTTTTGATATTTATTAGTTCATGTTTTTATGTGTATTAGTAGCTACTTCTTTTTTTACTGTTATAGTAGTGTTGCATTCTGTGAGATAGACCATAGTTTATTCATTCACCAGTTGATGAACAGTTATTTTCCATTTTTGCCTATTATGAATAAAGCTGCTATGAACATTTGTATACAAGTTTTTGTGTGGGTATATGCTTTCACTTCTCTTGGGTAAATACCTACCCAATACCTAGTATTGGAATTGGTATTTCATATAGTGTTTATTTAACTTTACAAGAAACTGCCGAACTTTTCCAAAGGGGCTCTACCACTTTACATTCCCACTAGTAGTGTATGAGAGTTCCAGGTGTTTTACATTCTTGCCAGATTTGTTACTTAGGTTTTGTTTTGTTCCTGACTTTTTTGTTGATTGTTTTCCTTTTTTTTTAGTCTTTAATAGATGTATAATCAGATTTCATTATTTTAATCCACCACTTGTCTGTCAGTTTGTCATACTGTGGTATCTCAGTGTGTTGCTGTGATGCTGGAAACTATGGTATCAGTATTTCAAATACCAGCAGAGTCACCCATGGTGGACAAGTTTTTAGGGAAACTTCCAGACTAAGGTGGACTGGGAAGAGGGACTTGATGATCTACTTCTGAAAAATTTGATCAGTGAAAACCTTAAGGATGGCAGCAAGACACTGTGTATAAAGTGCTGGAAGATGAGCCTCTCAGGTTGGAAGGCACTCAGTACCACTGGAGAAGAGCTTCCACCTCAAAGTACAGTTGACTTTAATAATGTGAACGGAGTAAAGCTTTAGGTATCTTCATCTGCTAATGTGCCATGACTCAAAATAGGAAGAAACAGCTGCACATGTGTAAATTGGAACATAGACTGTGTGGAGAATGAATCCAGATAAATTGGAAGTTGTCAAAAATTAAATAGAATGCTTGAAGATTGATAACCTAGGCAATAGTGAGCTGAAATGTACTGGTGTTGGCCATTATGAATCAGACAGTCCACTATGCCAAGAATGACGAAGAGGAATGACATTGCACTCATTGTCAGAAAGAACATTTCAAGATCGGTCTGGAAGTCCAGTGCTGTCAGTGATAGGATAATATCCATGCACCTACTAAGACCAGTCAATGTTGTTATTTGCCATCGAGTCAGCCCCGACTCATAGCGACCCCTCCTTGGGTTTCTGAGGCAGTATCACTACGGAAGTAGGCATGCCCAACCTTCCTTCCGAGGAGTGGCTAGTGGGTTTGAACCGCCAGCCTTCTGGTTAGCAGTCAAGTACCTTAGCCACTATGCTACCAGAGCTCCTAAGACCAGTCAATACAACTATTCAAATATGTGCACCAAGGACTAATGCCAAACATGAAGATACCGATGATTTTTTATCAACATCTTCAGTCTGAAATTGAACAACATACAATCAAGTACATGGATAATTCCTGGTGATTGAAATGCGGAAGTTGGAAATGAAGGATTGGTGGTTGGGAAATATGACTTGGTGATAGAGTCATTATCAGAGATCATATTATAAAATTTTGTAAGACTTGTTGAAAATACCTTTTTTCAGAAACGAATGACTTGCTGGATGAAATACACAGGAGTCAAATTGACTACTTCTGTGGAAAGAGATGATGGAGAAGCTCAATATCATCTGTCGGAAGAAGGCCAGGGGCTGACTGGAACTGACCATCAATTGCTCATATACAAGTTCAAGTTGAAGCTGAATAAAATTAAAACACGTCCATGAGAACCAAACTATGACCTTGTGTATATCACACCTGAATTTAGAGACTATCTGAAGAATATATTTGACCCACTGAACACA